ACGTTTTTCCTCTGCCTTTCCAAAAGGCGGTTTACAATTCAACAGCAAAACCACAATTAAAGAATCTCTGCGAAACCCAATGTGACATGCATGTAACTTGCAACAGCAGTATTGTCTACTCCCCTGCAGCATCATATTGTTGAGCAACACCCACAACTTAAGAGAGACAGGCGCCAGCTCTTAACAGATCCAGAAAGGCAGATTACAAGGAAAGCTATAAAAATCACACGTGACTGGAGAGAAGGTCCACAATCCTATCACCACACCCCAAAAAACCCTCTCCCTTATCACTGCTCACAGCCTCACAAAGAGGGAACTCAGGGTACAGTGCATTTGTATATTGTGTTTTATGGTCTACTATTTGCACAATCCAAGACCACTGAACACAATACATAGACAGGGTGGTTTGGGAGCCCCTTTGCTGCTAGTGTTAATTTTGAAGTGGGAACCCTCAACTCCAGGCAACCAAGTCTTGCAAAAGGCCCTCACAGCTGCAAAAAAATTAAGCAACCCTATGACAAAACATGTGATCATGGAGGGGGATTAAGTTGCACTACTCTTTATTAGTCCTCCTGAGGTAAATATCCCACATATCTGGATGGTTAATGCATTTTTTCTGCAGGGGCAGAAAATTCTAATTTCTCTCTCCCACCCCCCGGGGTTAATATGTAATAATAACTTGAAATCTGATGCTCTCTCCTCCTGCCTAAGACCTTGAACACTTACCATGACATTTGCTCAACCACATTCCACTCAGGCCACATGCATTTTGCTGCCTATCTGATATGAAATGTGCATCTTCCCAGCCAAAACACCCAAGCGCAATTTTGCTTCTGGTCTTCAAAAAGCCATGCAGCCGAGGCACGAGAACCTGAGCAACAAGCCTGCACTAGCCATGCACTCAAGTGGGCGGGAAGCCTCCGAGTTAATAAGACCTGCAACACACACGTGTGTACCGTACACACGTGTCAGGGGCAAAGGGGCGGGGCACGTTTACCACGTCGGGAGACCAAGCTTCCCAGCTGCTCTGAGACACCCTTACAATAACATTTGCATAACCTACCAATATCCTCCACTTGTAAAGAGGCGTTAAGAAATTAAACTCGAAAGGAGTTTTCCTGGCAAGAAGCTCCTTCGCCAACACAGAGGAACAAGATAGTTGGGAGTTTGTGAGGCTTCGGGGCACCCAAAATTCCTCAGTGCAATGCAAAGAGGGATTAAATTCTTAAGAATAAAAAAAGAAAATGCTTTCTTGGCAAGTACTGAAGTTCTGCTGCAGCCGCCTGCCCCTTTGCAGCAGCAGCAGCGCCCGCGCAGCGCCCCTTCCGCCCCCCGCGCAGCTCACCTGGGCGATCCCGGCGCCCATGAGGCCGCCGCCGATCACCGCCACATGCTTCACCACCAGTTTCTTGGCGGCGGCGGCGGCGGACGAGAAGCGCACGAACGGGCGGGTGGCGAAGGCCATGGCGAACCGGGGAGGAGCAGGAAGGGCCGAGGGGGTGGGCGCCGCGGAGCCGCGCGCCGAGCAGGAGCCTCTGCAGCCCAGGCGGAGGAGGAGGAGGAGGAGAATGGGGGAGAGGGCGGGAGCTCGGGCCTTAAAGGCGTCCCCGCCTCCGCCACTTCTGCCGCTCTCCTCTGCATTGCTTTAGGCCCTATGGTGAAATGTAGGTGGCCAGCTCGTTTCCCCCTGCAATATCCGACCCTATCCAGCTCCGGGCTGCTAGTCAGACGTTGTTTTCCGGCAAAAGAAAAAAAATGCACGCTCAAAATATTCCCCCGGGAAAACTCGTAGCAAAGGTCACGTCTGAAGCCTGCATTTAAAGCACCTGGCTCCCCACCCACCACCCGCCAGGAATCTTGGGATTTGTAGTTTGTACCGGTCAGTGTAGTGAAGGCTGTAGGTCAAGCATGGGCAAACCCGGCCCTCCAGATGTTTTGGGACTACAACTCCCACCATCCCTGTCCTGTTAGCTAAGGATGATGGGAGTTGTAGTCCCCAAACATCTGGAGGGCTGAGTTTGCCTATGCCTGCTGTAGGTGATTAAGGAGTGCAGCTCTGTTAGGGCTCCATACTTAGGCGTTAAAACTTTTCATGGCTGCCTCAGCAGCTGCAGGAGTCAGTTTGTTACTGCCATTATATATAAAAGGGATTCGGCTGCAGTGCTAAAACATTCTAGGGAGAAAACCCCGTGGAACACAATGCTCTTTGATTTTGAGTAAAATGGAGTTTGTGAGGTCGCCCTGCAAGTCTGTCGCTGCAAACTTTAGAACTTGCTGCACCATTAAGTAGAAGATAAAATGGGCTCTAGCTTATACCACAATGACATATGGAGCCACACAACTATTGTTTACTTTAAAAAAGTGAAAGCAAATAATGACTGTTTGCCATCTAAAAAGACCTACCGTATTATTTATTTATTCATTTATTTATTTATTTATATTATTATTATTATTATTAATTATTATTATTATTATTATTATTATTATTTCTACCCCACTCTGGGTGGCTTTCAACAGAACATTAAAAACAGAATAAAACTTCAAACATTAAAAAATTTCCCTAAGCAGGGCTGCCTTCAGATGTCTTCTAAAACTCAGATAGTTGCCTATTTCCTTGACATCTGATGGGAAGATGTTCCACAGGGTGGGTGCCACTACTGAGAAGGCCCTCTGCCTGGTTTCCTGTAACCTCACTTCTCACAGTGAGGGAACTGCCAGAAGGCCCTCGGACCTGGACCTCAGTGTCCAGGCTGAATGATGGGGGTGGAGATGCTCCTTCAGGTATACTGGGCCGAGGCCGTTTAGGGCTTTAAAGTCAGCAGCAACACTTTGAATTGTGCTCAGAAATGTACTGGGAGCCAATGTAGGTCTTTCAGGACGGGTGTAATGTGGTCTCGGCAGCCACTCCAAGTCACCAGTCTAGCTGCCACATTCTGGTAGTACCATAGTCAGTACTAGCTGCAGATATCCAGTCCTCTTGGCTATTAGTATATTGCCATGTGCTCCACACTTCTACAGGTTTCTTATGGAGTGTACACTGGAGTTTTGCCTTGTGCCTGAGTAACATTTGCAGAAACAAGGGGTGTTGAGAAATTATCTCCTTCACCCGCATTACAGATTGTGCTAAACTTTTGTAAACTACCGTATACCTTTGCAGAATCGACTCTACAAAGTTATAGTGGGTTTTTTGGGGGGTGGGGGTGGGAATAGAGAACTTTCAAAGGAAGGAGAGATACATAACAGCATCATAAGCCAAAGGACAGCGCTATTTGTAATTGGCATAAAATTAACAAGAACATGATGAATTCCAGGGCAGTTCAAAGCTGAATATTGCACAAGGATGCCATTTCCAGCAAAAGGATTACATCCAGATCATAGGAGTGCACACTTAAAAGTTACAGTGCAATCAAAGGTTGCTTTGATTCTAAGTAAATCAGGCTCAGATGTTCAGGAGATAGCCATCAGTCAACTGAAATATTTTATACACTTTTAAAAGTACAGCAATTAAAAAATTGCAGCAAGAACATAAAGTGTTTTTCTAGATCACATCCAAGCTATATCCAGGCCAGCGTTCTTGTTTCCTACAACATCCAATGGGATTCCACTTGAAAACAGGGCAGCACACATTATTATTATTATTCCCGGCACACATTCCCTGTGTGTGTATTTGCCCACTTGCATTAAACACTGCCAGATGATCCAGTTGTCTATTATTTGTTGTTTAGTCGTTTAGTCGTGTCCGACTCTTCGTGACCCCATGGACCAGAGCATGCCAGGCACCTCTGTCCTCCACTACCTCCCGCAGTTTGGTCAAACTCATGCTGGTAACCTCGAAAACACTATCCAACCATCTCATCCTCTGTCGTCCCCTTCTCCTTGTGTCCTCCATCTTTCCCAGCATCAGTGTCTTCTCCAGGGAGTCTTCTCTTCTCATGAGGTGGCCAAAGTACTGGAGCCTCAGCTTCACGATCTGTCCTTCCAGTGAGTTTGTCTATTATTATTACAATTTATTACCTGCCATTCACCCCAAGATCCCAGCTGCTAAATAAGTGTGCTATGACCTTTGGGACTTACTGTTATGTGAGGTACCCTAAATTACGGGAAGAGTCACAGCTCAGTGGTAGAGCACCTGCTTTGAGTGCATAAGGTCCCAGTTTCAGCCCCCAGGATCTCCTAGAAGAGTTGAGAGACCCTCTGGAGAGCTGCTGCCCACCAGTGTAGACAATACTGAGCTAGATGGAGCAGAAGTTGGTACAAGACAACTTCCTGTGTTCCTATGCTAGGGTGCAACTTTTCCAGCCAGTCACTACAGCAACAGCTGATCCAGCTCAGCAGCTCGTTAGCATATATTTAAAATTATATAGTTGATTTAGAAATAATTTGAAGGCATATCTGTTTTGCAGCACTTTGTAAACCACTTTGTTTGTGGTGTCCTAGAAAGGATCATTGGAACAGGATTATTTGTTAAGAGATTCCTAGCATGTCCTCCTTTCCACATCACCAATTCCAGTCCTCCTGCAAAAAAGCATATTCACTCCTCACCAGTTTCCAAAACAGAGTCCCCCCTCTGTTTTTTGTGTATCTGCAAATCTCAGGGTTTCTCTGAGCCTTCTGATAACTCCCCTTATGTGCAGTGATGGTATTGTTTTGGCTACATAAACTTACAGTACTCACTCGAAATATCTATTTGAGGGACCAATAAGAAACCCCCAGGTGCAAGTAGATAAATAGGGACCGCTTACTGGCGGGAAGGTAAACGGCGTTTCCGTGTGCTGCGCTGGCTCGCCAGATGCAGCTTTGTCACGCTGGCCACGTGACCCGGAAGTGTCTCTGGACAGTGCTGGCCCCCGGCTTCTTAAGTGAGATGGGCGCACAACCCTAGAGTCTGTCAAGACTGGCCCGCACGGGCAGGGGTACCTTTACCTTTACCTTTAAGAAGCCAGGTAACAATAGATGCTCTAAATATCTGTTTAAAAAGCAAAATCGGCTTCCAGACAGTATTGCTTTTAAAATAAAAAGGTTTATTTAGACAAAGATTCATACTGAGAAACACATCTCAGGCTGTATTTAGAAAGATAGGCACCTTTTAAAAATTGTCAGCAATGATCTCAAATGCTAGTTTCTAACAGCAATTATATATTCCATACTAAAATTCTAAACAAGGCATTCGTTTTGTTTTGTTTTTCATGGGGAAAGGGGAAGAAATAAAGCAGGCAAGGTAAACATCAGCAAGATATAGGCAATCCATGTAATATATATTATCATTCATGAGGCTCTTAACAACTACTAAAATATAGAAATACAGATCTTTGGATCCTGACAAAATTATAAAGTGCTTCATTAAAAAGGCTGCCTTATTACAATAGGGCTTACATGCCATACAAAGAATCAGTTGCATTGCCAGCCATGTCGCCCCCGCCACACTCCGGCTGTTTAACAGTAGTCAGCTGAAAATTAGCAGTGCAATTTTAGTTTTTCCATTGAAGTTTCCAGTTAAGAATGGCCCAAGGAGTCCGAGTCACCTTTCCTAAAGGTTTCTCTGCACTGCAGGCTTTCTGTAGCTCATACCTGCACAGTGTTGATTCATAAGCTCCTACCCCGTTTGTCTCAAGTCACTACTTCCTTTACAAGGTAATGAATTGGAAATGAACTCCATGATTATATCAAAGCAGCTTATCCTCTGCCAAAAAGGCCAGCCCAAGGCTTTGGCAGTATGGCTTTACCTCCCAGGATATGCATGTATTATTATCATCATACATGCATGTGTCTGGGGGAACTGTTATGTGCCAGCCATCTTCCTAGATGGCCCTTATTTAAAATTACCGTATTTCAGATGCACACAGATAGCACAGTGAAGGGATGCAATTGCCTAAATTCATGCTAACCACACACACAAAATGTTCCTGTTGTGTGTGGATCCATGCATTACCGTTTGTGCCTTCATATCCCCATTAGCAGGAATAAACAGAGGTACCAAGAGACAAACTTCGTGTACCTACAGATGTACATATAATTTGAGCTGTGAGCCTCCTGTGGAAGTGATCGTCTCCCTCCTTGGACGAAGAGGGAAAAGATTCTGCATGGTTGAAGGCAGCAATGCTTCTGAATACCAGTTGCTGGAAACCACAGGAGAGGTGAGATTTCTTCTGCTGAAATCGTGCTTGCTGGTTTCCCACAGACACCTAGTTGACCCCTGTGAGAACAGGATGCTGGAATAGATGGGCCAGCAGACTCTTCTTTATGTTCTTAGAAACCAGCTGGGCACAGCACTGATTGTCTGGAATGGTGACATCACTAACCCACCTCCGCTAGAGTTTTCAACACTTCAGAAATGCTTCTATGTTTTTAGTATTAAAGGGGATGAAATGCACATTTAATGGAAACAAATGCATACTCAATGCTTTGAAAAGTTAAAAGAAAGAAAAGCAGTCAATCAGTCTGAAACAAACATGAGGGAAGGGCAACCCTGAAGACTTGAATCAGGGGCGTGTAAGGCTGCTCTTTTCACAGTGAAGGCGGATAGAAGTCAGACTCACCCCACAGGAGCAAAAACCGCAGCAAATCCTGTTTTTATTATACCTCTCTCTTCAATGTGTCCATTTTAAAGGATGTCACGACTCCTGTATAAGAGAGAGATACCCACTGTTGTTGTATGCAAAACTGAATTTTTATGTTTTTCCTCCTTCATTTCTAAGCTAATGTAAAAAGCCACTCAATGCCTGACATTAACAGTCTCTGCACCAGTTGTCACTTGTCATCCGGCAACTTCGAAGACTAGCTTTTATTCCTTTTCCGCATTCAAAAAGTTTCAACACATTTAATGGAAGAGCCCACAGGCTAAGGGGAAAGTGCTTTATGAGCCTGTGAGTACCCTGTGGGCTGCAGGTTTCCCATCCCTGCTCAGGGTTGGCGATTTTGTTACTGAAGTGCATTTCATATATAGCCCTGAATTTTCGTAAGAGTAATACAAACTTCATGCAGTGTTCTTGTCTGAGGTTCCTTCATCTCTTTAAGGCAATGATGTTGAATGGAAGTGGAGCTAAAGTCAGGCCAAATCTTCCTGCCATCGATGGCTTCTCCATGTCTTCGGGAAACTGAAACGTGAAATTTTGCAGGAGGCTCACAAACATCAAAAACAGCTCCATCTTGGCAAGTTGTTCTCCCATGCACACACGTTTTCCTGAAAAGGAAAGCAAAGTGGGTGAGAGAGACGAAAGGGGGGGTGGAAACTTCACAGTTTAAATAAATATTAATAATCTCTGTGGGAATCCATTTTTTAAAAAGGAAAGAAAGAAATGCTACAAGGTCCAGGACGTACGCTATGATAACCAGGCTTTTATAAATCCATTAAGGCAGTTCCAAATTTATTAAGCACAAAGACTCCTGAAAAGAAATGGTATAAAATAATCCTCTTTATTCACTATCAGACTAAACTGGTTTTGCTGGATCCTGTCCCATATAAAACAGCTAAATGTAACTTAATAGACCAGAGATGGGCAGAAGGTAGCTTAGAATCTCCCTGTTGAACTCTGGGTGATTTGACTGGGAAGGGTTTCCAACAATAGCAACAACTGCAACAAAAAATAACTTCCCAACTAAATTAGGCTGCTGAAATGAAGAAAGCAGCAGGAGGAGCAGACTATTGTGTGGAATGACTATGAGCTCCATTCAGTTCTGGTACTGAAAGCAAATTCCTAGCATTAGAATGTGCTCAGAAGTAAATCCTGTTCTTTAACTTTTGAACCACTTTAAACCTTGGAGTTTTAGCAAAAACAAAGCCTGAAGACTGTCCTCCCCTGTAATGGACTATAATAGACTGTGAACGGCTCTGAGATCTTATGATGAAGGGCAGTACATAAACCCTAATAAAATAAAGTAAAAATAAATAGGAGAGAGACCAGCAAGCATTTTCCTGGCCTTCATAAATGCTGAACATACAATACTTAATGTACACTGCTTTAAAGATGTCCTACTATCAAGAGATGGTGTCCCCACAATCTGCACCCCCATCCCTCCCTACACACACCAAACAGAGTTGAATTACCAATTCCAAAAGGAATAAATGTTTCTTTTTTGATGAGCTGGCCATTTTCATCCAGAAACCTTGCTGGGTGGAAATCATCCGGATTCTCCCATATTTTGGGATCTCGGTGCACGGACCACAAGTTTGGAATGATTATACTGCCCTTTGGAATAGTGTAGCCCTGGAGCACTTAAAACAACAACAACAACAACATATACACAACCAGAGAGGTACACAAATTAATAAATGGCATTACCCTTATGGAGAGATTTTACACACAGACATATTAATCAAAGGAACATAAAATGCTTGTGTTTGGGTTGGTTTGGTTTGTGGGAAAGTGTTGCTTCGTGACTGAGAGAATGCACGCTTGTGTATTTCTACGTGCCATTAAAATGGTATTGTGGACTTCTCTAGGAGCGGGAAGGGGCAAATAAAACCCTCACCAAGGGCACAGAAAACGAAAAGCTTACCAAAAACACAGACCCTTTGTTATCAAAGCACTTTGTAAACACAGGGGTTGCTTGCTTTAAGTTTGTCAGCTGCTAACAGATACCATCTGACCTAAAGGAGGAGCACACTCCGTGAAGCAACACTGCAAAGTCCAAGCTGCAGTTTACAGCAGCTGAAAATCAGCCCTGGGTGACTTGACTAGTTGCAAAAGCAGCTCATTAATGAAGTATCTACTACATGTGCAATGCCTGGAGGTGCACAACAGTTCAAGCACTTAAGAAGAGTTTGGATTTGATATCCCGCTTTATCACTACCCGAAGGAGTCTCAAAGCAGCTAACTATCTCCTTTCCCTTCCTCCCCCACAACAAACACTCTGTGAGGTGAGTGGGGTTGAGAGACTTCAAAGAAGTGTGACTGGCCCAAGGTCACCCAGCAGCTGCATGTGGAGGAGCAGAGACGCGAACCCCGTTCACCAGATTCCGAGTCTACCGCTCTTAACCACTACACCACATTGGCTCTCTTACGCCTGACCACAGTCCATTCTCACTTCAGCTCTGGTATTGCTCTATAAAGCAGATAAATATGTGATAATGGGCAATTTGCCTGTAAAACTCCAGACTCTCCTGTCCCTGGCAACCCTGGAAAGCTGCCACCAATCTAGGATAGACCAAAAGACCTGATAGGACAGACCTAGTATAAGAAAGCCTGTTCAAATTTCAGCCTTCCTTGTTTCTCTCCAATGTGAAAATCAGCTTTTGGCTAAATGAACTCGTACCAAAACGTGAGAGCAGCAGCCCATCAAAAACACTTACCTGTAGTTTCTGAGGCCATTCGAGGAATTGAAAGAGGTACAACCACTGTCATCCTTTGAACTTCCATGATGGTTGCTTCTGTGAAGGGCATACGTGCCTTGTCCGCAAGAGTTGGAGGCCTATTGCGCCCAATGACCAACTCAATTTCTTCCTGGACCTTTTCTGTGCAAAACAAGAGACAGTAAGATGAGCACTGGGACTAAATGGCTAAATTAGGGTTGCCATGTGTCCTCTTTTTTCAGGACACATCCGCTTTTTCAGGGGTAGAATTTCTGTCCAGGTGGATTTTGTTAAATTTGCCAAAATGTCTCTGGCTATACTTTCTGGATGAGACATAGACACAGGGACGCGGACTTATAAAAAATATTGGGGGGGCCCGGGAAAGCTCATGAATAATAAATAAGCTCATGAATATGCAAATAAAGTGGCTCCGGCCCTAAATAGGGCAAGCCACGCCCCCCCAGCCAGCCAATCGGCTGGCTGGGAGGTGTGGCCAGTCGGGATTCCCCTGTTCTCGCGGGGGCCAGGAGGAAGGAAATTTCCCCCTGCAGTGCCTTGGCAGTGGCGGTGGTGCTGCGAAGCAGCGAGGCAGGAGCCCCCGCCCCCTAATCTCGCGGGGGACGGCCGGGGCTCTCCGACTAGGGCGCGCGGCTGGCTGGCTGGCTGGCGAGGGAGCAGGTGGGGAGGAGGCGGGGGACGGCGGCGGCGCTCTGCTGGAAGGGCGCCCGAGATTATTGGGGGGGCTGAGCCCCCCAAAAAAATTTTTGAGGGGGCTCGAGCCCCCTCAGGCCCCATGGAGTCGGCGCCTATGCATAGACATAGCTGGTGGATGAAGGCTTTCCTCTTCTCTTCTCCTGCCCCTCTCAGCAACTCCAAGCACGCCTGGAGGAAACGGACCATTTGGATCCCTTCCAATCGGGATTCAGGTCTCACCATGGGACTGAAACTGCCTTGGTCGCACTGGTTGATGATCTCCGGCGGGCTAGGGACAAAGGTGAGAGCTGTTTCCTAGTTCTGCTGGATCTCTCAGCGGCCTTTGACACCATCGACCATAACATCCTTCTGGACCGTCTAGAGGGGTTGGGAGCTGGGGGCACTGTCATACAGTGGTTCCGCTCCTTCCTCCTGGGCCGTGTCCAGAAAGTGGTGGTGGGGGATGAATGTTCAGACCCCTGGGCTCTCACTTGTGGGGTGCCTCAGGGTTCTGTCCTCTCCCCCATGCTTTTTAATATCTATATGAAGCCGCTGGGAGAGATCATCAGGGGGTTTGGACTGGGTGTTCATCAGTACGCAGATGACACCCAGCTCTACCTCTCCTTTAAATCAGAACCAGTGAAGGCGGTGAAGGTCCTGGGTGAGTGCCTGGAGGCGGTTGGAGGATGGATGGCGGCTAACAGACTGAGGTTGAATCCTGACAAGACAGAAGTACTGTTTTTGGGGGACAGGGAGTGGGTTGGTGTGGGGGATTCCCTGGTCTTGAATGGGGTAACTGTGCCCCTAAAGGACCAGGTGCGTAGCCTGGGAGTCATTTTGGACTCACAGCTGTCCATGGAGGAGCAGGTTAACTCTGTGTCCAGGGCAGCTGTCTACCAGCTCCACCTGGTACGCAGGCTAAGACCCTACCTGCCTGCGAACTGTCTCGCCAGAGTGGTGCATGCTCTGGTTATCTCACGCTTGGACTACTGCAACGCGCTCTACGTGGGGCTACCTTTGAAGGTGACCCGGAAACTGCAATTAATCCAGAATGCGGCAGCTAGACTGGTGACTGGGAGTGGCCGCCGGGACCATATAACACCGGTTCTGAGAAACCTGCATTGGCTCCCAGTACGTTTCCGAGCACGATTCAAAGTGTTGGTGCTGACCTTTAAAGCCCTAAACGGCCTCGGTCCTGTATACCTGAAGGAGCGTCTCCACCCCCATCATTCAGCCCGGACACTGAGATCCAGCGCCGAGGGCCTTCTGGCGGTTCCCTCATTGCGAGAAGTGAGGCTACAGGGAACCAGACAGAGGGCCTTCTCGGTAGTGGCGCCCACCCTGTGGAACGCCCTCCCATTAGATGTCAAAGAAATAAATAATTACCTGATATTCAGAAGACATCTTAAGGCAGCCCTGTTCAGGGAAGTTTTTAATATGTAACGCTGTACTGTTTTTAACACTGATTGGGAGCCGCCCAGAGTGGCTGGGGAAACTCAGCCAGATGGGCGGGGTATAAATAATAAATTATTATTATTATTATTATTATTATTATTATTATTATTATTCTATAGCCTACATATAGTAGGGGTATTTAAAATGAGAGTCGCCTCCTTTTTGCTCTTCAAATTAGGCAACCCTAGCTAAATGGGCTTTATGCAATTTATTTACTTTACATTAGGTTTCTATGATGGCATCATGCACTTCTGGGATTAGCGAGCAAGGCTGCCAAAAAAGAAGAAGAGAGAGATTACACTCAGACCTCTCTCTTTTAACAAATTAAATACTAATTGCATGTCAAACACTGCCCTCCAGTGTCTACAATCAGAAGTATTACTGCTGTGATCCTAAACATACTTGACTTAAGGGCACTTCCAGATTTTTGCTATTTTCAGGTGGGATTTAATCATATAATACTAGCAAATTCAGGTTGTGCAGTAAAAGTTTGCTGGGCTCTTGCACACATACAATCAGGCTTTTTGCAATAAGGAAAGTGGTGGGGAAATGCACTGGAAAGTATGGGATGGAAATTGCTTGACATGAGGTCAGCTATTCTGCACACAGAGCAGAACAAATGTCCAATAAGTAGCCAATGTCACCTAACATCCCCCCAAACTTTGCCCACACTAAACAGGATGGATGCTCAATAAACAGATTGTCTGGAAGTGACTTTAGCCACGGTACAATAAATGGAACACTATGTGAATTAGATAAGATTAGAAAAGGTCTTTACAGTGAAGGTTATGTTAACACCTTTCAGAGAGCTTTGTGTACCACAGACTGCCATCACACCATCATCTTTTGACATTCATGCCACTACGCATCTAACAAACACTCAGAACGCAGCTGTCTGTTTTCTGGAAGGAACTAAGAGAATCAACTTTTGGGAAACAGAAAGCATTAAATGTACACCAAGCAGTAAAATTGACTGATTTTAGGTGCTCATCACAGCTATGTGATTTAGAAATCGAAATGGCTATGGGGTGGAAAGAGAATGAATAAAAGCTGGAATATATTAAAAACATTAGGTGACCATTAAAACCAACTTTACACTTTTAATATAACCCAACTATTATTTAATATAATATTTAATATAACCTGACTCCAAGGATACTCTAGGTCTTTGCCCCATGAGACATACAAACCCAGTAATAAGAAAATCTGGCTCTGTATGTATAATAACTTATTAAAATGAACCCCATCTGCAGCCATCTACTTGAAACTGTCCAGTTTGTTTGTTTTTTTACAGAATTGGGGAGTGGGTTAGAGAGTGTTGTGGCAGAGGAGAAGAAATGTATTAAAACACAGAAACACTAATTCTGCCTGCAGCTACAACTCCCATCATCCCTGATCATTGGCCATGCTGGCTGAGGCTGATGGGAGTTAGAGTCCAACAATACCTCAAAGGCCAAACAAGTTCCCAGCCCTGCTATAAGCTGTTAGAGTCTCAAGGAATCCAATTTGCTATTCCTCCTTGGTTTCCAGTTTTTCTTTTTCCACCAACACTCAAAATGCCATGCTCCCGGGAAAACAACAAGCATGTCTGGAAACCAAGCCTTATGAGGAATGGTTGAGGGAGTTGGGAATGTTTAGCCTGGGAAAGAAGAGACTGAGAGGAGATACGATGGCCATCTTCAAATATCTGTCACATGGAGGATGGAGCAAGCTTGTTTTCTCCTGCTCTGGAGGGTATAACCCAAACCAATGGATTCAAGTTACAAGAAAGGAAATTCCAACTAAATGTTAGGAAGAACTTTCTGGTGGAAAGAGCTGAACAGTCTCCCTTGGAAGGTGGTGGACTCCCCTTCCTTGGAGGATTTTAAGCCAAGTTTGGATGGCCATCTGTCATGGATGCTTTGGCTGAAATTCCTGCATTGCATGGGTTGAACTAAAGGACCACTGGGGTCGCTTCCAACTCTGCAGTTCAATGATTCTATGTCCAGTACTCATTGAACTTTAGGTGTGAGTGGGTGGTTATTTTGAAGTCTGCTTTTTGTCTCTACCTCAGGATTCACAAAAACATGCCCATAGCTATCTGCTTTTTCCTCAGTGACCCTGTTTTGGGTTCCTATAAGAACATAATAAGAGCCCTCTTGGATCCAACCAGAGCCTCATTTAGCTCGGGACCCTATTCACCCAATGACCTGTTAGAATTCTTGATCTATGATTGCAGTCATGGAATTTTTGTCTATCGCATGGCGGTATATGTTTTGACTCCACAGAGTGGGAAGTGACGGAGACAGGATGTTTGTGTTACTGTGTTCCGTGAAGTGGGACTATTGTCCTTTGTTCTTTTTCTCTTTGCTGTCTGATGCTAGAGAGAGAGGGAGCCATGTTGCAGTGCTCCATGTGTGTTTATATGTAGATAAAGTAGATTAGCCAAAATGCTGAGTTGCTGAGGTCTGTTACGCATGATGCGCAAACTCTGTGGATCCCTAAGTGTGCCGGTGTCGGTTGGCATCGGTCGCTGTGATGTTCGGACTGAAGAAAGCTTACGAAGCTCTGTAACAATCGACCAGGAGGGAGAGAACATGCCAGTCGGGCATGTGTCTCTGCCGGAGTCCTACTCGAGTGTAGGCTGAACTCCTGACATGGCCAACCAGATGCCTATGGCAACAAGCCCCAAAGGAAGACCTGAGAACAACTGCTCCCTCCATCAGCTACTACAATTCAGAGGTATATACTGCCTCATAGATAGATAGATAAAAATGGAAAGCTGTCTTTACACTGTAGCATGAGAGAATAGCAGGCAGGCAGGCAAGCGAGCAGCACAGGTGGCCACTGGCCAAGGCAAGCTGTTTGAAGGAGGGGGGGAGGTGCCCTATATTAAACACAGTCGCAGCGAGACATAACAGAATGGGACAGACGCTTCAGAGAGGAGTTTGCCGGACCACTCTCTGAAACGCCTCCCACCCTCCTTTAAAAGGGAGCGAGGATTGGGGCAAGCTGTGAGGGGACATGGGTGAAGTCTAAAGCAAGGGGGGTTTGGTCACCCAGGTGTGAGGGAAGAGAGTTAGCAAAGGGGTTGGTGAGGAGGTGTGGTTGGCAAGCAGAGTGAGCAACAGGGGTGGCAGCCCTGCGTGTTGGTGTGTGTGTGCCTAGAGAGGGAGGGGGACATCGTTTTGACTAGTACCCATGGATAGCCTTTCAGCACCAAAGTACTGTGTTCCCTGTTAGAGGCAGCGGGTGAATGTTTTCCATGCAAGATTTGATCAGAAGGGTGCAGCTGTGGCCATATTATACACCCAGTTCTTCCGAACAATGCTGTGGAAAAACCCCCCAAAATGGATAGCTTGCATAATAAGAGCAAACCCAATTAAGAATCAGCCACTGGAGAAAGGATGACATTTACTTTGTTCCTGCGGGTGAAGCGACATGTAAAGCAGACTCCAGAGAAGGGTATTGGATGTGGTGTCTGTGCCTGCGATGAAAAGGTCCGCAATAATAAAAAACAGGTAGTCTTCAGTGAAGCTGCTCTCGCTGTCTATCTTCCTTTCCTCATCTGCATGAAGGAGGTACATGTCGATGAAGTCTCGGGGATTCTGGCTATCGAGGGTTTCCCGGTGCTGTGCGATAATGGTCTTCAGGAAGGCCGTGATATCCAGCTCAATCTGCCTAAGCACTCGGAAAGGATAGATTGGGAGGTAGTAGAGCCAAGGGCAGATGTTGACCAGAATCATGTGACTGTTCAGGCTTATCTCCAGACCACGAGACATGAGCTTCAGCATGGTCTTGAAGCCGGCATCGTCATAGTCAAATCGCCTGCTAAACGCCATCGAGCAGATGACGTTCGCCACGGCGTTGCCAATTATGGGGAAGGGGTTGAACTTCTCGTCCCCATGCTTCAGGATCTCGGCTTTCACATACTTGAATTCTTCGATTATTTTAGGCTCCAAGCTGTGCTTTCCTAATCCAAAGTGACGGAGGGTTGAATGGGAGAACTTTCTCTGTTTCTTCCACACCGGACCATAAGGGGCAAAAACCACACCTGGAGGAAAAGAAAGGGGGAAAACATTGAAATCAAGAACAGTTTTTTCGGTTTTGTTTGTAAGATACCTTGAAGCTTCGAACTACAGGAAATCCTGGGTTCTCCCCTGTTTTCATTTCATGGGACGTGGGTGGCGCTGTGGTCTAAACTACTCAGCCTCTTGGGCTTGCCGATTGGAAAGTCGGTGGTTTGAATCCACGCAGTGGGGTGAGCTCCTGTTGCTCTGTCCCAGCTTCTCCCAACCTAGCAGTTCAAAAGCATGCCAGTGCAAGTAGATAAATAGGGAAAGTAAACGGCATTTCCATGGGCTCTGGCACTTGTCATGGTGTCCTGTTGTGCCACAACCATTTTAGTCATGCTGACCACATGACTCGGAAAGCTGTCTGTGGACAAACGCCGGCTCCCTCGGCCTGAAAGCGAGATGAGCGCTGCAAGTCCATAGTCGCCTTTGACTGGACTTAACCATCCAGGGGTCCTTTATCTTTACCTATTTCATATTCCATAATATTTACACACTGCTTGATTGTAAAAAACAACAACCCCAAAACCTCAGAGTGGTTTATGAAAAAGTTCATTGAATCATAGCATCGTAGAATTGCAGAGTTGGATGAAACCACAAGGGTCATCTAGTCCAACCCTCTGCAATGCAGGAATCTTTTCCTCAATGTGCAGCAGGAGGATGGAGAAGATGATGCTCTGGGTACCTTCCAACTCGATGATTATGTGATTCTAATACTTTGTGTAAAGATAACCACATGTTGTTGTTGCTGTTGTTGATGATGATAATTGGATCTAGTTACCAGCAAAAACAACAACTCCGGTTAAAGAATGGTTTCCACCTAGGCAATAACAAGATAACAGTAAGACAAGAAACAAACAAGGATAGCCAGTTTAGTCATTGCTCACTGGGATTATATTCAATTAAGCAGAAAAAAAATACAAAATGGAAAATAGAAAATTACAGGAAGAGGCAACAGAACAACCAGAGTTATTGGAATTATAAAAACTTCTCATCTCAAAGACACCCTTCCCTTCTCCATTAGAATACATTGGCTGAAAATAGTATTTAAGCCCTAGATTTTCAATGGCTGTTAGTTCTCAAAGCTCCAACATGGACCCCTTTTCACTCTATGCTCTCAAGGACCAGCCTGACACCATGCTTCACTACAGGACTGGTATCCCCTTCCATTTCTTGCCTTGCCTAGTAGTATGGGTTCTGCAGCAAAATTGCCACACTCACTTTCAGTATGCTTTTGAGATTCTTTCACTCTTTAGATCCAGATGTGATTGTACTGTAGGATTTGCTGCCTGCTTAAGTTGCAATTTTGCTGTCTCAAGCAGCATTTATATATTCCGTCCCTTTCATTTCATGTAAAAAACCATAAAATAAATCTTTATTTATTTTATGCAAGAACTTCTTGTGGGCATAAAGTGAAGGGTAAACACATTCATGACAAACACACTCCTTAATGCTAGCAAAAGTCCCTAAAGCTCTTGGTAGTGTGTGCATGAATACACATGAACGCTGGGCACACATGTGGGTTCAGACACGTATATTGGAACATATTCATCCTCCATCTAGGCAAGCAAGAAGAAGGATCAGGGTTCAAGGATGCATTGAGAGTACAAAGTGAAATGGTTCAGGACTGTGGATTGGGCAAGCTCCGACTCCAATGTTCAAGTCCAAACTTGCATAATAGTATTATTTACACACTGTTTTGATAACAAGTTATCAGGGTACCATAGGGACGCAGGTGGCGCTGTGGGTAAAACCTCAGTGCCTAGGACTTGCTGATTGTAGGGTCGGCGGTTCGAATCCCCGCAGCAGGGAGAGCTCCCGTCGTTCGGGCCCAACTCCTGCCAACCTAGCAGTTCGAAAGCACCCCTAAGTGCAAGTAGATAAATAGGGACCGCTTTATAGCGGGACGGTAAACAGCGTTTCCGTGTGCGGCGCTGGTGCTGGCTTGCCAGATGCAGCTTCGTCACGCTGGCCACGTGGCCCAGAAGTGTCTTCGGACAGCACCGGCTCCCAGCCTCTTGAGCAAGATGAGCGCGCAACCCTAGAGTCGGTCACGACTGGCCCTGTCGGGCAGGGGTACCTTTATCAGGGTGCCATATCTTCACATCTACTTGTGATGAAACTGTAGTTGCACTGTTGCCAAGATATCAACTTGCTCAATTGGCTTTGAGACCAAGCAAGGGTATGAATTTGGTTGCCCCAGCTGAAAATGCCACAAGGGGTCCCATTGCACCACACCGGCCCCTTTATCAGTACGCTGCTGAAGAGGTATCACTTATGATTAGGTATGGGTGAATCTGCAAATTTCAGCTTCTCCTGGTTTCTCATTTTTCCAGTCTTCAGTTCTCCACATTTCCACATCAGTTTGCAATTTTTTTATTTTTAAAAAATCCACCAGCATTTTAGCACAAATTTATCCTGTTATACCTATGTTTATATGCAACTTTGCTTAATATACACAAAATATAATTCATTTCTGTATGTTATCTTCACTAATATATGCACAGAATATATGCAAATATAACATAATATATGCATATAATATATGCAAAGAAGAAGAAGAAGGAGGAGGAGGAGGAGGAGGAGGAGGAGTTTGGATTTGATATCCTGCTTTATCACTACCCTAAGGAGTCTCAAAGTGGCTCACAATCTCCTTTCCCTTCCTCCCCCACAACAAACACTCTGTGAGGTGAGTGGGGCTGAGAGACTTCAAAGAAGTGTGACTGGCCCAAGGTCACCCAGCAGCTGCATGTGGAGGAGCGGAGATGCGAACCCGGTTCACCAGATTACGAGACTACCACTCTTAACCACTACACCACACTGGCTCTCAAACCCTAGCTGTATACAGCTTGAGACCTGGACTTTTGAAGGAACACCATCTCCCACATCAACCTGCCTTCCTCAGAGCCCTTCCCGATACAATCCCTCAAATCAGTAGGGAGCAGGGTGGCAATGGGAGAAGAGGGCCTTTTAATTAGATAAGGCCCTTAATTTAAGACACATGCTGGAATCACATTCTGCTTACTTCAAAGCAATGTACTTTTATGCAATTTCATAGAATTGTAGAGTCGGAAGGGGGGCTCCCAGGGTCATCTAATCCAACCCCCTACAATTCAGGAATCTCAGTTAAAGCATCCATGATCCAACCTCTGCTCAAAAACCTCTAAGTGTAAAATTTCCTTAGTATAAATGTATCGGTGACAAGAGGAATGGATCCCATGTTAAAAGGCAAATGCTTCTAGTCATGTTAGCTTTGCAGCATCGTTTTTTGAAGCAGCTACTGAGAGCTACTCTAAATTCCTTTGCTCCTTGTACAAATCTCTGAAAGATGCTATGGTGCTTAACAGGCTAGATGTTGGGCTACCTGAGAAGGCAGAGCTGCTGTTTTTTGGACTTGCACAACCAAGAATTGACTATGTTTCAGAAGACTATTATTCTTTGCCCTGGAGAACCAAATTCGGACATGTCTGATTATACAAAAGAGTTGCACAATATTAATTTGGAACTTTAGGGGAAGTTTATGTTTGTTTATTTTTTTTGCAAAATTAGCAGAGAAACTATGAAAATGGGCAACAGAAGGCAAGCAAGGGATAAAGGAACAGAATGCAGACGAGGAGCAAACTGTCTCTTCATCTGAGCCATTTAAAGAACTGCCTCAATATTTTCAAACTCTACTTTCATCCTGCTAGAAACTTTGGCGGGGAACTTCCAAAGACTGTCGAAATTACAACTCCTGACTACACAGCGGGGGTGTATGTGTGTGTTTGCTGACTGTACAATAATCCCTGTTAGTGTATTTGGAAACTACATTTATCCGCAGCGCTTCTTACAAGTCCAAGTGAATTGTTTGGGCAGAACTGGGAGATTGCAGAGTTATCTGGTGCTCCTCTCCAACTATTTTAGACTGACAGGGAAGCTGCAAAAACAAACACAGCATCACATGGCAAAGTGACCTTGGTTAGAAAGAAGAATCCTGAATAGGGATAGAACTCACAAACGTATCTCTCTCACCCCTGTCATATTATACCGCAGTATTCAACAACAGGTGCCTGTGGTTTCCCTTTGCAGTAGGTTATATGGGAAACCTGAAAGGCAACAGAAAATCTGCATATGCAATCAGCTACAACAGTCTGCAGCTTTCAACACACAGGTGTCGCTGGCAAAGAAGTGCTGGAAACAACTACATGTGTTAATACAGAAAAGATGCCGCCAGCAGCATCACCAGAGGCCTCTATGAAGTAACTTATCTTACTCTTACTAAAGGACTGCCAACTATCTGAGAAGTTAAGTACTCAGCTATCTCCTGTTAAACTTTATTGCTGCAGCAATAAAACCGTTAGCACATTTGCAAAGCTAAGCAGGATCCGGTAAGGTTTCAAACTGGATGAGGAACTGCATGCTGAGATTCCTGTATTGCAAGGGGTTGGACCTTTGGGGTCCCTTTCTAACTATACAATTCTTGGATTCTAAGATTCACTACCAACAGAATAGGGTAGAGTGCGTGCTTGGTTGTGTGTTTTTTGTGGGGGATGCCCATGACAGTTTGCAAATGGGCTCACAGGCCCAAGAAAGGTTTGCAACCCCAGTGCTACAGGGATTGATGCCAGCGAAATTGGCAATTCCCACTTATATGAGCATCGCCAACAGATGGCCAGAGTAAAATCAGATCTATAGGGTTCTGTATTTTGCTGAATATTTTATGTACATCCATAGACGCTTCCTTGGTCTCTTCCACTTTAGAACTCTACTGCCTCCTGAATAACTGCAAAGTAATTATCACAATTCCAACATTCTTATATACCGGCAACTAGTGCAGATCTCTGAGTGCAGGTGCTATGTGCTCACTAGGTCTCACTCCTGTCAGCAATTGAGCTGCCGCATCCTGCACTAACTGCAGCTTCTGGATCAAGTGTGACAGAAGCCCAACATAGAGCACATTGTGGTAATCCAGTCCTGAAAGTCTGCTGGTTTTCCTCGCAACAGAGTCTTAGGCAAACCACATAGCACAGCCCAACAATAATGTTAGCCTACCTTACAGGGCTGTTGGAAGGATTACTGCAGGACAGTGGAAATATTAGGAAATACGTCCCACCATGTTCAGGGAGCTTAGCTGCATTGCTTCAAGTAGCCTTTGCCAACCTGGTGCCCTCCAGATGTTATAGAACTCAGCTCCCAGCAGTGAGAGATGGGAGTTGAAGCCCAAGAACATCTGGCTTATGGCAATATATGCAAAACACTCTGTTAATCCTAAGAAATAGTCTCATCAAGCCCCTCAATCAAAGACGTATTTCACTCCCTCCTTGACCTCTTCATCACGGCATGTCGCCCAACTGTCATGTCCGGGGCCTGGCACTCCAAGGGAGCCCTGCAGCTGGGCCTGCCACTCAATAATCCTAACAGGACTTCCTTCTTGGGTTTTTATTATTATTCAAGTTATATACCCCAGCCACAGGTGCCACATTCACCCGGCTGCTGCCATTCCGCTTCACGGGCCAACGTATGCAGCTGCCAGGAGTCATAGAATCAGAGAATTGGGGAGTTAGAAGGGTCCCCACCCCCTGCAATGCAGGCCTCTTTTGCCTGACGTGGGCCCCAAACCCACGACCCTGGGGAAGGGCTGCCAAATTGCCCCTTTGCGGATCTGACCCCTTCCCCACGCCGCCCTCTTTGCCTTACCTTTCCTCTTGGAGATGAGGGCCACTAGGGGCACGCTGGGCCGGTCGCTGAAGACCTCGGCCTGGTTGACCAGGGCGTCCCGCACGGCCTCGAAGTCGCTGAGTATGATGAGCGGCCGGCTGCCCACGAAGAGGCTGAAGATGCTGCCGTAGATCTTGGCCAGGGCGGTGAGCAGCAGATGCGGGGGGTTCTGCTGCTGTGGTTGCTGCTCCCTCCCGGCGCCGCCTTCGCCTTTGGGGAGCTGCTTCTGCCGGACCATGTTCAGAAGCCGCTTGCGCACCAGCGGGTTGCGCACCAAGGCGAAGGCGAAGTTGCCCACCAAAGGCCACGGCTTGGGACCCGGCGGGAGCCCCTGCAGCAGCCGGCGGCGGCGGCTCAGCAGCCACCACAGCGCCAGCAGCAGCCCGGCGGCCGCCAGCAGCGCCGAGCTAACGGGATCCTCCATCAGGGCGGGCTCGCCAGACAGAAGCCGTGCGCAACGCGGAACCTCCCTTGCGCGCGCCCTGCGGCCCCCTGGAGTCCCCCTCCGCGGATCCCGCTACATCCTCTTCGCGGCGGCGGCGCCTCCTCCTCCGCCTCTGGTTGGCCGCCCGCGGGGGAGAGGAGGCGCAATCAGAACGCCCAGCTCCGGACAGAACTCCCCCGAGGCGCTGCGTCACCGGGGAAAGGGCTTCCCTGGCTTTGACCGTCCAGCCTTATCTCTCCGCTGCGCTCCACCCCAATCCATCTATCTCTCTCTCTCTCTCTCTCTCTCTCTCTCTCTGCCCAAGACCCCAGCGTAAAGATTGCCGCAAAAAGCTGGATGACGCTGGCGACTCGCAGCGGCCTGCTGCAGAGTTCAGGGAGGGAGGGAGGGAAGGGAGGAGAAAGCGAAGGGGTCAAAGGCGAAGAGAAAGCGGAAAAGGAGGGGGACATCTTCCAGACCCATGTTTATTGCAGGACAGGTGCATTCTGCAAGCATTGTTTTGTTCTTTTTTTTAATGTATTTATATCCCTCAGGGTGGGATTGGAGTTTTATTAGTTGATTCAGGACGCGTCCCTTGATGCTGCCGTATTGCACCCATCTGCAGTAGTTTCTAGTTCATAAGTTTATTGTTCAGCTGACTAAACTTGTGGCGATAGGGCTAATGAACTAATACAGAACATGCATTCATAATATAAGCCGACATCCGTGATGTAAGAGAGAGAAGATGCCAAAGACATCAACAAGCTTAAATTAGCTTGATTTCAGATTAAAGCTCCAGTCACCACAGCAATTTACAGGGATTTTATCTAAATGCGTTTTCCTGATATTTTTTTGCAGCCAATGCATAGAGGGCCACTCTGTGTGTTACAGAGCTATTATTGTTACTCAAAAGAAACCAAGCCATTTCTGACAGGTAGTACCTGAAATCAGCTGTTTCAAACCCAAAGCAAGTGAACTGAAGTTTATCAAACGCCCTTTCAACTCCTTTCCACGCCCTGCCCTGCTTCTGAACTTCTGAACTCCACCTCATGGCCGCTCCCTCCTCTTATCATTTAACATATACAAACCAGCACACCCTCCATAATGTACAATAACACATTGTTGATAATAAGGATGCTCTACACTTAATTTTGTGATAGTTTATACTATGTGATGTGAACTGTAAAGGCCCTTGACCACCAAAACTGTTGACAACGTACTCATCATCAGCCTTAGAAACCAAGGAGGCAACCAGGATAGAATTAACCATTTTGCGCCCCGCGTCAGACAGTGATACAATTTTGAGATGCACAGTGAAATTCACCAGGTCCTTAGTCTGTCTTGCTGTGCCTAATCTATCCATCCCATTTCTACTGTTACAGGGCCACTCCAATCCCTGCTGAGCGGTAGCAAGAAATTTCAGGGGTCTTGGCACTTAACCAGGGTTTGTGTTCCTCTGAACATAGCGGGGAGATTGTGGTGTTTTCAGTACCCAGGACTTCAGGCAAGTACTTGCCTTCATCTTTCCATGGGCCACTGGTCATATTATGCAAAATAAAGTACTGCATTATGTAGCAGGTTACAGAAAGCAAGGATTCTTGTGCAGAATTAACTTTAATAATAAAAAAGCACACTACAGTAGGAACCAGAGAATAATAGGTGATCAAGGAAGACTATACTTTTTAAATAAACACATTTCAAAATGCAGTTCTCAACCATTTTTTCAATAGGCACTTTATTCTTATAGCATTGTTTTGCAGTGAAGTTTTTCAGAATATTACAAAACATACCACACCGCTAATACTGGTAAGTGTACATAAAGTCTGCAATTTACAGAACAAATAACTTCAAAGGTTGTGAAAATCTATGGAAAACAGATTCATGAATGAAAGAAAAATGTTTGCATAAGGCCAGTCACCTAAATCAGAATCCTGCCATAATGTTTATCTCTCATTGTATAGTGATACAATATCAATCACAGCACAGGCATACAATGCTACAGTATTAGAATGAGATTTTAAAAGGCACCATTTCTTAATGTAGTAGCAAAGCACTAATATATGCCTTTAAGTAGTGTTATTTTTCTAGAAAAAGAGGTGCCTGAAATCATCATTGTTCTCTTATCATGGCAGTGGTGCCCACCTGAGAGGTGCTGGAACTGAGTTTTGGTTAGTTCTGGCTGAAAAAAAAGTCCTGCCTTTAAGTAGTGTTACAGGTTTGTTCCAGCACCTGCCAGCTCTTGGCAGCTCTCTCCTTCTCTACCACACGGAAGTGTTTATACTGTGCTGCTTCTGAGATCTGCACACACTCACATAGTTTATTAAGAGATTGTGCAGTTTGACTGCATTTAACACTGCACAGGTCAGACCAGCTGGGTCAGGCCGGCCTGTACTAAGCTCTTTTAGACTGCAGGACTGTCAAGAATTGATCGGTAGATGTTGATCAGTTGCTGCTGCTAACTATTGTGAATGAAGGACTTGCTTGAAAGATATCTCTCTTTTTTCTAGGATCAGTGGCGTAGCGTGGGTTGTCAGCACCCGGGGCAAGGCAAGTAATTTGCACCCCCTAACCCGTGGATTTGCGCCCCCTAACCCGTGGATTTGCGCCCCCTAACCCTAACCCCCAGATGTTGCGCCCGGTGCGGCCAGCCCCCCCTGCACCCCCCACGCTACGCCACTGTCTAGGATATATCCTCTACACCCATTTTGTATATTACAAGTAGAACGTCACAAGCTACTGTCCGGATAGGACCAAGACCAAAAAGGCACATCTACCACACATATTTAAATTAGCTAAAATTGTACTGCTTTCCCCCAAGGATCATGAATTTGTGGTTTTGTGCAAATGCTCATAACTGTGTCTTAGCAGTGATAGCTTCGTAATAGGTCTACAGTGGACAGGATTTATTGAGTGGAAATACTCAAATATGTTTAAAACATATGTATAGTGTAGAAACAGACTATGTTCAGGGAAGTGTCTAGGGTTATTGCAGAGATAGCCAACACAGTGCCCTTCAGATCAAGCATGCCTTTTTTGCGGTCCTCTGCAACATTTGATGTACTTCCCAGCCCTTATGCTACCTTTCCAAAGCTGGGTGAGGTGCTAGACTTTGGGACCCTGCCAGAGCCTCGCGCCTCCTTCCAAAAAGCTCAGCACCTAGCTCAACCAGCTTTAGGAAAGCAGTGTGAGGGCTGGAGGGGGCATCAAATTTTGGCCTCAGTGTAACAAGGTAGTGTGTGGCCTGCATGTTTCACGTCAAAGTACTCTTGCAGCCCACTTGGTATGAAAAGTTGGACTGCCCCGCCTACAGATGTTGTGGACTGCAACACCATGATAATCTGCCATATTGGCTGGGGTTGTGGGGAGCTCTAGCCCCAAACATCTGGAGGGCACCTCATTAACTACCCTTGCGCTATTGTTTCACTGCAGCAGGAGAAGGTCTTTAACCTTCAGTGTAATGGTGTTTTATATTAGGTAATGATTTGCTGACAATGTTCCTCTTTTAAGAAGGGCAGCACATCCATTGATTTTCACAGTGGATGTTTGCGCTTGTAAAGGTTCAACATTAGTGAATGAAACATTACTGAACAGTTTATGATCGTACTGTATTGAAGTGTTATTACAAGTTTGCAGTTCCAAACATACAGATATATATCCCTGCTTACAACCTTTCCCTGCACAACTAGTATTTTGCTAGGGCATCTTTTCTAAATGTCATTTGCCCCTAATCAGAATGAGCAGACCTAAGTGTTTTTCATAGCAGGATACTTTTAAAAATGGAAACAGGTTTGCTTTTGGGCTATGGGGTGGGCGAGATAGAGCTCCTATAGCTTCATGACTGCTGAAGGAAAACAATGCCACGATCTGAGTGATTAAAAACACACACAGATGTTGAGAGTGTTGTTTGCAAACAAATGGAATCAGCTAAAGAAACACACTTATCTGGACTGAGTTGTCTCAAGCTAGGAAATACGGTAGTAACTTTTTCCAAAAAAAGCCCCAGTGGCCTGGGGTGGGGAACTACATTTACAATCCTGTGAGTGTTTAAGTAAGTTCCATTGAGTTCAATATGGCTTACTTGCTTGTGTGATTAGGATCACAACCTAAGGAACTAGTCTTTTCATTTATTTATGTGTAAGTAGAAACACAACCATCTCTATTAACCTGTTAAAGGTGGAATAAGGAAAAAATTTGGTTTACCCCAAAGTAAATGTGCATGGATTGCAGATTTACCTCTATTGAGTACGGGACTGAAGAAATGCAGGCAGTCCAATCCTATCCATGTTTACTCAGAAGTCTGTGTTTAACAGGGCTTATACATACATTTGTGTAAATTAGTTTGCACAGGACTATCATTCACACACAAGTAAATGTGCACTGCACTATCACTGGAGCTCCATGTTCTAAAAGAAAAACTAAAATGTCCTCATCCCCACACTTCATGTATTACAGTTGTAGCAAGGAATCAGAAGGGGAAAATCCATAACTGCCAGAAAATAGCAATCCTAAATACAGCAGTAACCAACCCTGGTATTTTGGGCTGATTTTTTTTTTTAACTCAAGCTTCCCAAGCTATTCCGGTGATACCTGCATGCAGTGCTTTTTATAAAAAAATATTTAGGGGTACTCTCATTTTCCTACTCATATTGAAATACTGACCCCTCAATGAGGCCAAACTTAGATTCACAAAATGTTTAGGGGTATGCGTACCCCTGCGTCTCCCCAGAAAAAAAAGCACTGGAGGAAGTAATAAAGTACGGTATATCAGGTGCGTGATGTGGATTTAATGCCGAGAGGATGTTAGAACAGGATGCTAGACTAGATGGATTAAGCAGCCTCCAGTCCCTGTTAGAGAAAAAGGTGGGCTATAAATGAATGAATGAATGAATGAATGAAACAAAACTGTGAGAATGCTCAGGCACAGTGTAAGACTGCAAAGTAATTATCCAGTTCCTAGGAGTAAGCTCTATTTAATTCAGTGGAGCTTACTTTTGAGTAGACAAGTCTTGCAGTGTGAGGCTCTATTTACAACAAAGGAATAAACACTCCATGAGTTTTCTTTTAAAAAAATGCTGGCTGAGAAACTATTGTAATTAAAGTGTTTAAAGTGGATTGGTTACATTTTGCTTCAAAATGTATGTCAGCTTCACCATTCCTTCCTTCCTTCCTTCAGTTCAGGTATTTTATTTAAAGTATAAACAGGACTCTGTTTTTGTAGCTGATTGTATGCAGCAATGCCCTTTTTATGCATTCACATATATGTTGTCTTCTAGATCCAAATGCACACAAACAAATATTATAAGCAAGCAATACCCTAGTGCAGTTTCCCAAACTTGGGTGTCCAGCTGTTTTTGGACTACAACTCCCATAATCCCTAGCTAGCGGGACCCAGT